GAGAGAGAGAGAGAGAGAGAGAGAGAGAGAGAGAGAGAGAGAGAGAGAGAGAGAGAGATGGTATGTGTGTGCTTGTGTGTGTGGATGATGATGATGCGAGTGGATGCGAGTGATGATGATGATGATGATGATGTGTGAGATGATATGTGTGTGCTTGCTTGTGTGGGTGATGATGTGAGTGGATGCGGGTGATGATAATGATGAATCTTTTGTGTGTGTGTGTGTGTGTGTGTGTGTGTGTGTGTGTGTGTGTGTGTGTGTGTGTGTGCACGTGCGAGTGTGATCATATTGCACAGCAATGATAGCATACCATAAATTGCATTGTTTCTCGTGCATTTAGCTCAGTTGCCACACCCCTTAACTGTTGAAATACGGACCCGAGTTTGAACTCCAGTGGAAGCAGATGAGTGAATCACTACGATGTAACAGTTCTGAAGTAGGGTCGCTCAGTTTCCTTTTTTCTTTCAAGTTAGTGATGAACAAACTGATGAGTAATAGTTGAGTAATCTATATCCTAACAGCATTTTTAGCTCTTATCTTTCTGGTCTCTACTCACCTGTTCCTGGTGTGCGTGTGGGCACGGATGTATGTATGTGCGCCTTTTTGTTTTTCAGATACTGTAAGCATGAGCTTCAGCCAAATGCCGAAAGCGGCAATGTATCCTTCTCTGCCTCCTTCAGATGTTACTGTGGTGCGGCCAACAAGTGCTCGGGTGTTCACCTATGAGGAACTCTCCGCAGCAACAAAGGAATTTTCTAATGACATGGTCCTTGGCGAGGGAGGCTTTGGAAAGGTGGGTATATTCTCTTTGATTGTCTTTCAGCTAACTTCTCATGCTTGGACTCGTCTGATTGACGACGGACTTGGTAGCATTTTTCATCAGATAGCTTACTTTTAGACAACGATGAGAAGGATGACAATGATCATGATGTTGATGATGTCTTTGATGACAATGATGATGTTTTTGATGACAATGATGATGATGATGATGATGATGATGATGATGTTATCGGTAAATCCAGATCACAAGTTTTGGACTCGATAGCATTTTTCATCAAATGACATGACCTTTTGTTAACACTTGGCATCTCGATTGATGCAACATGCTACTAAGTCCAAAACTTTTGATCTGGAATTCGTTGATAAACTCATCATCATCATCATCATCATCATCATCATCATCATTGCCATCACCATCACCATCATCATCATCATCATCATCATCATCATCATCATCATCATCATCATCATCGCCATCACCATCACCATCATGATGGTGATCATCGTAGTCCTTGCAGTCGTTGTTGTCTTCTTCATCTTCATCATCATCATCATCAGCAGCAGCTTCAGCATCATCATTGTCAGTGGTGTCATTGATCATCATCATCATCATTGTGGTAATTGTCATCTTCCAGTGCGATTGTTGTTGTCATTGTCGTCATTGGTCATCGTCGTCATCATTGTGGTAGTTGTCATTGTCATCATCGTCAGCATTGTGATTGTTGTTGCTAGCACCGGAAGTCGTTGTAGCGTCAGAAGCAGCAGAAGCTGCAGTGTGACCTGACTTTGTCCTTCTATGTATGGTATGTTCTTGGCTTTTCAGGTTTACAAGGGTGTCTTGGGCGATGGCACACAGATTGCCGTGAAGAAGCTAACGATTGGCGGCCAGCAAGGGGACAGAGAGTTTTTAGTCGAGCTGGACATGCTGAGCCGCCTTCATCATAGGCATCTGGTTGAGCTGATTGGTTATTACAGCAGTAAGAACGCAGCTCAGCAGCTGTTATGTTATGAACTTATTCCAAATGCAAGCTTGGAGTCTCACCTCCATGGTAAGTGTCCTCCGTGCCCCTCTACAAAGAAAACTAGGTCAGCAAGTTAGCAGCAACGGTGAGATGGTGGGTGGGCGTTGCGGGGTAGATAGATTAGCAAGTCTGTACCGACAGTGAGATGGGCAGGCGTTGTGGGGTTGGAAAGGAGGCCTTAGACCACAAGCACATTGCCCAGCTATTTTGTTCCGATGCGACACACCATGAGCCAGCCGTGTCCTTCCGGATTTACTGGCCTGCTGTGCAAGGACAGATTCATTCACTTTGACCCACCGCAGCGGCTGCTGCGTTTCAATGCCAAGTACTGGTGCTTTAAACCACCAGTACACGGCCCCAGCCTTGCAGTCCGAAAGTTGTCGCCACAAGAAAACGAAGCCGAAACGACAAACGCCGTGCCCGCCGTTGAGAAATTAGATCGGCGGTCGCGGTTTCGTTTTGCGCCTCCAGAATTTGAGGTGTCAGGCCGGCGGCCCAGGTGCCCATGTACTGGTGCTTTAAGAGATGTTAGTGTCTGAGCTTGAACCACCAGAACCTTCTGAAAAATCGGGCCAACCCCTGAAGACAGAAAGAAAAACCTGTGGCCATCGAACCGTCAATCGATCAGAGCAACTCGAGAAGGGCTTTCTTAAATCAACAATCTGTTCGAGGCTTCGAGCCCTCTGTTTTGTAGTTTTCTCCAATGTGCTGTTCTGCCCGGACGGCGAACCTTGAAAAAACAAACCTTTGTGGGTGCGGTTTTGCCAGGCACTGCCATGCTTTTCCCTCCAGTAGGGTAGGCAGGCCGACTGCTCTCCCCTCTGTTTTACGCACCGTGCGGAAAACGAAATCCAAGGCCAACAACCTCTAACAAATTAACAGCCTCATTCCTGTACCCATCGTAAGAAAGCAAGGCTTGAAAAGTAATTCGCTCCGTAACGCGCCTATAGACACCACTGTAGGCAGATCATCGCAGGCTACCACTGTAGCCTCATTCCTGTACCCATCGTAAGAAAGCAAGGCTTGAAAAGTAATTCGCTCCGTAACGCGCCTATAGACAACACCGTACCACAA